AGGGAGTGCCATGGGTGGGGAAAGGGGGCAGGCAGAAATTCTTTTATTTAGTTTGTGTAAGCACTGTAGTGTCAGACTGAGAAAGGTCAGTTACAGGAGTGTGAGTGCGAGTGTGTGTGGTGTGTGTGTGTGTGTGTGTGTGTGTGTGTGTGTGTGTGTGTGTGTGTGTGTGTGTGTGTGTGTGAGTGTGTGTGTGTGTGAGTGTGTGGGAGTGCGAGTGCGAGTGAGGGTGTGGGAGTAGGTGAGAGTGTGAGTGTTGTGTAAGTGTATGTGAGTGTGTGTGTGGGTGTGACTGAGAATGTAGGAAATAAAAGAGTGTTAGTTGGTTTTTTTGTTAGAAAGACTCTCCATGTTTTTTTAGGGCAACCAGAAGTTTATTGCAAATATTAACATTTAAAAAAATGTTTAATGAACTGTCTGATTCAATTCATTATTGCAATAACAAGGTTCTTGGCAAATGGTGGTTAATTTTTACACTTCAGTCAACACAATGTTGATCATTCAGGAACAGATAATCCTAAAAAACCAGAGGCCTTTTCTCTTCTGTTTCAGCCTTTGGCTCTTCCTACTGACAGAAGTTTTACGTTGATGCTTTGCTCTAGATCTATGTCATATTTAATGAAATCACATGAAAGAATACTAAAGTACCAAAAAGATTTTAGTTTTGTGCCTTCCATCCTGTGGTTATGATTTACAGAGAAAAGACTCAATATAACGAAAAAGACACCAAAAAAAACATCCTCTCCCCCCAAAAAAATCTAACCAAAAAAATCTAATATTATCCGATAATCATTATTGAAGAAGGGAACGATTATTCCAACAAGTTAATAAAAGGTTTTGTTTGGAACAAGGTATACAAGTCAGTTGTGTAACTTTTGATTCATAGTTAGAGTCGGTGAAGGTCACCCACCTGCCACATTTTCAGCAATGTTACACGTGCACTCCTCCACAAAGGTGGCATTCACGTTGGCCCCATTGACGTCTGGTCCTGATGCTTCCTCAGCACTCTCCAGAGCCATGTACGTGATTCGAATGTCTTGACCTTTGGCCTTGGTCACATGACTGACCGCTGTCACATCAGCCAGCACACCTGTGGGCAGAGGTAAAAGACAGGAGATAAGATCTCTATAACAGAGACAACATGCCTGTAGGTAGAGGTAAAAGACAGGAGATTAGATCTCTATACCAGAGACAACATGCCTGTAGGTAGAGGTAAAAGACAGGAGATTAGATCTCAATACCAGAGCCAGCACGTACAAGTGTATGGAGAAATGAAATTGGAGATTTGATGCAGCATACAGTAGTAGGTAAAATTCCCTTCAATCAGATGCCACGAAATTTCATACTAAACATAGTGATATTATGATAATCCCTTTATTCCTCTAGAAGTATTAGCACTACATCTTTTATCAAACAGCTGGGATTGTTTATGCATGCAGAAAACCCCATCAAAACATTATCATAAACATTTTTTGTCTCGCCTCCATTACCATGACAGTGTTCCTTAAAATCAGATTTTACCTATTAAACAGTGCAGTCCGCTTAAAGTGAACTCTTTGGGGCCAGAAGAAAGTGTTCACTTTATCCGAGGTTCAGTTTAACTATTTTGGAAGGGTGGAGGCCTAGAAACAGTAGCTACACACAGTGGTGGGTCTAGGGTGGGGGTGGGGTGGGGGGACGACACAGCGGGTGAGCCTAGACTAGAGCTCTTTCTTCCTGATTGAGATTGCCGTCGTCAACGCCGAGCTGGGATTGTCTGCCGATGCCCGAGGCAAAGAATTTTATTTTCACAGCATGGCGACAGTGACACGGTCGGTCCGTTCTTTGCTTTCATTCTTTTTGGGCTTTAACTTTATCCAATTTCCCCATGAAACCAGTTCATTTTATCCACTTTTTAAAAATTTAAACAAATAGCGTTTCCATCGGGAGCTCAGAATATCATTCTATTTAACCGAATGTTCAAATAAAGCATGTCCACTGTATACATTTAATACATAATAATATAAATACTATAGGCTCACAAAGAATCTAGGGAGGTTGCTGAGTGGAAATTTCTGATGAACAATTAACATTTTACCACAAACAGACACAGGCGGCAGTGGCAGTGAAAAAGAAGTACACAGTGCAGACTGTATGACAAAGCCCGCCTCTCATAAACTGTACAAGGCTTATTAAGCACCCACTGCGTCCGTGCACACTACTTTTCAAACACATACAAACAACTTCATGTTTGCTGAGGCAAATTATAGAAGGACAGTGAAATAATAATGGTCATTTAGTGCTGGAAGAAAGTAAGACAGACAGAAAAAGACAGACAAAATCAACAGAGGGAAAGTAAAGAAGTAGCACGTCCAACCAGTGGTGCCATCAGAATCAAAGGAGAGAAAAAAAAGAAGTAAGCTCTTCCAGTGGTGCCCTCCAACCACCCAGACAGACAGAATCAAAGGAGAGAAAGAAAAGAAGTAAGCTCTTCCAGTGGTGCCCTCCAACCACCCAGACAGACAGAATCAACAGAGGGAAAGAAAAGAAGTAAGCTCTTCCAGTGGTGCCCTCCAACGACCCAGACAGACAGAATCAAAGGAGAGAAAGAAAAGAAGTAAGCTCTTCCATTGGTGCCCTCCAACCACCCAGACAGACAGAATCAACAGAGGGAAAGAAAAGAAGTAAGCTCTTCCAGTGGTGCCCTCCAACGACCCAGACAGACAGAATCAAAGGAGAGAAAGAAAAGAAGTAAGCTCT